TAGGATTAAGATTAAGAATTAATCCTATAACCTGGTTAGGGGCCAACTAGGCCCTAATATGAACTGGTTTGGGCCGAATTTGGAGCCCAACCAGTGACCCGTAAGGACGGGCGGTGGCACTGCCCAGAACTCGAAGGATCGGGCGGTGGCATCGCCCAGCACCCGAAAGGTCGGGCGGTGGCACCGCTAGTAAACGGTCAATGTGACATTGACAGGCGGTGGCACCGCCAGCTCCGAGAACCCAAAGGAATTCAAAATTTGGAGCCCAAATTTGAATCCTCTTGGGTTCTATAAATACCCCTCAATTCTCAGCAGAGAACACACCTTTTGAGAAGTTAGAAATTGAGAAAAAGCTTTAGCAAAGTCCTTAGCAAAGTCTTGTTTTCAATAGCTTAAGTGTTCACCTCCCTCTTTCTCTTTGAAAAATCTGTAAGAGTGTGAACCACTTGTAAAAAGGTTGTAAGAGGGGTATTTGGTCCTTTCCCTTTAAAGTGATTTGCTAGTGGAAGTTGGGAGCCTCATCGAAGAAGGCTTCGCAAGTGGATGCAGGTCATTTGACCGAACCACTTTAAATTGGTGTGTTCCTTGAATGTGTGATTGTTTAACTTTCTGAAACCTTTATTTTTATAGCAGCAAGCTTTTGGTTTTCATTTCCTTACTTTACTCGAGCTACTTTTACTAAGTCATTGTTTGTCGCATCGAAATCTCTATACATTTACGAAATTATTTTCAAACTTACGAGTTTTAATCCGCTGCACTAATTCACTCTCCCCCCTCTTAGTGCCGCTCCGATCCTAACAATCATAACTATCATAAAATTTATCATCCTTATCAGATCTGACAATTTTGACTTTTCTATCTAATTATCTCTCGATTTCATTTATGTACACCTAAATGTGTTAATAGCTTGAGACCTTAGATAGTTATATTTCAATCAATAATCTATAAAGGTGATAAAATATTTCAGTTCACTAAAATAGGAAATATGGAGTAGCCTGTAGATACAAGCATATATAATCTCAAGGAGTTCATTAAACTATGTATTATTCTAATATTTGATTATAAGATCGTTGCAAATTCAATATTCTCATTAATTCTGTACAAACCATCATATAAAATTAAAAAAAAAACTTTACTTTTATTGAATCATGATGAGCTTACCTCCACCAAAAGAGAAATAATATCCTGACAATTCTAGATAAAGAACTCAAATTTCTAGAATTGTAGGAACATAATATATATCATCAAAATCCATCAAATAAATCGCCTCCAGGTGTAGGCGTAACTATTATCGCTTTTGCTTTAAGATGATTTCCTATAACGATGAATATTTCATACTCTTTTGGTTTTCATTATTAAAATGAATCTCTATTAGTGGTAATATAAGTTGAAGCGCTAGAATCAATCAACCAAATATTAGAAAATGACTTCTATAATGTTTGATTTGAAACATACAAAGGTCAGACTTATATCTTTCCCTTTCGAATTAAAACCTTATAGTCATTTACATAATCTTTCTTGTCACAGAAGTAGTACTTTATTTATGAGTTTATATTACATTTATAAGCTAAGCTAATTTATTTGATAAATTATGTTTCAACCTTTTATAATTACTCACTCCTTAAGTAGTACCCAAAATATTATGAGTCTTTCATACATATATATTTATTTATATATATATATATATATATATATATATATATATATATATATATATATATATATATATATATATATATATATATATATATTAGTCAACTCATTTAAGTTTTACTTATCCTTAATTTTATTATAGTAAAATTTAAATGAGTTAAACTAAGAAGAATTAGAATTTAAAACAAATTATACAAGTAAGGACTCAACTATATTCATACCCAATGTTATTGACCTTACAACTTTGTCAACTATATTGAGAGTATAATCTTGAATTCCTCAAATACTATAATATTGAATTTTAGTCATTTATTTTATTATTGTGTCAACCAATGACTTATCAGTAAATTTAAATTTATCTTTAAATATTTCATTGTGCTAGTTATATACTATAATGAAGTTTAAATATTATTATAATTATCATAAAATTATGTTTTTTTAACCTTTTTCGATCACTTATCTCAATTATTTATTCCATAGAATTTTTAGTAGGTATGTCTATGATCCTTTCAACTAGTCTGATCAAAGTCTAACATACCTAGTGTAAATTATATATGCTTAAGTTATTTATAATTATTTAATTCAGAAAACATATGGATATTTATAAGAATGTAATGAAGGAACTATAATAAAATAATATAATATTAATATTTTAAATTTTTTAATAAATGTTAAAATATCGGTGTCATCTTTATTTTATATTTGAATGAAATATTAACATATCTACTATTCATACAAAATTATTTATTAAGATAGTATTGCTACCTTTGGGTATACAATCTTAAACTCCAAGAATATTTAAAACAGTATCATCCTATCTCATCACATATATTCGAAGTAGATTATCGTTTGGGATTATCTAAATCTTTTAATTATGTATAATATTATAAATATTAGTTTTTTTAATATCATTTAGGGTTAATTCTTTAATATAATTTTATAAGTTATTGGTCTAGACCACTTTGACGACTACAAAGCAATACAATAATATAAAATATAATTTAAAATATCTTATAAATAATAAAATGTTATTATAAATCATATCCCGAAGCCTACCATCCTAGACCACTTTGGTAGCTACCAGTTAGATAAAACTCAAGGATATGAGTGAAAACTCATATGATAATTGTAATCATGATAAATCATAAATCATACCTTTTATGTGAAAAATAAATATTATTTCATAATTTTAAATATATGCATATAAATAACTAAACAAATATCTAAGAATAATAATTAAATTTTTAATTATTACATAAAAACTTTTATCAATATGTCATATGAGAAAACTATGAAAGAAAATCATGATATATATATATTTATTTATTTATTTAATTTCTAAGGAACCCTTAGACCTATCAACCCTATTTAATTGGATAGGCTCAAAATTGGGCTAAATATCAACATAATTAAATCAGTCAATAATTAAAGTTGATCAAAATAAAAAATTGATCAAAATTTGACTTTTCCTAAATTCGATCAGAACTTGATTAATTGAATCTAAATCAAGTCAAATAGTCAAAATACAATAATGATCAAATCCGATCAAAATACTTAATCGAATTAGTTAATTTTATAATTGAAGACATAAGTAAAAAAAAATTAGTTTTTAAAGGGTATAATTATAATGTTTCTTAGATATATGATAGAAATATATAATTTTTGAAGGGTAAAACTATCAAAAGGATATAAATTAGAATTGAAAGATTTATAAGGGCTAAACTATAATTTTATGGGGATATATATTAGAAATATATAATTTCTAAAGGATAAAACTATCAAAATGACATCAACTAAAATTAAACGAATTCAAACAAGCAAAAAAGTCCTTTTATCGATGAAAAACCCTAATCCCTTCCTTTTAATCGTCGTTGTGCAGCCGTCGTGGTGCACGGCCTGAGGCCCTCGTGGCGCCACCCACAGCTAGTGACGAATCACCGATGACTTGCCTCTCCCTTTGCCGATGACGTAGCAACTAGTGATATAGCCCCCTAGCCGCTACCTCCATTCCCTTTTCCATTGCAACCCCTTTCTATGACTCCCAAGAGATCTATAGTTGCTTCCTCCGTTGCATGCTCTGCCAGCCTTCAGCATCTAGTTGACACCAGTCACAGCTAGCAAATGCTACTGCAGCGGCATTGTTGCATCTACCAGGCAACGACATTGTTGTAGCCGCCGCAAGCAGCAACATTGTTGCAGCCACAGGTGACCAAGGCAAGCTAGTCGTCACAAGGCTGCTGCACACAAGTAGTCGTGCATGCGACCTTCATTGGTTATTACATCCCATGGTGCTTTCGTTGTGTATAGTAGCATCTATACACAATCGCTGCCTGCAACTAGGCTGGCGATCATTGGAGGATGTTACCCTCAACAATACTATCGTCGACAGCAAGCTGTCGACGGCGGTCCATCGATCAAACACGAGGAACCTTACATTGCTCATAAGTAGGTGACAAGACGAACTAAATAGAAAAGCAAATTGACAATAAAGACAAATCATTTAAGCATTATAAATCAAAATCAAATAACACATTTTCGAAAGCAAAGAGTACTAATAAATAGATCTAAGATATTTGATTTTAAAACACGGCTCTAATACCAATTGTTAGCATAAAAAACGTGATTATGCTATTGTTATGTGAAAGACATTAATACCAGAAGCTGAAATCAAATAATAATAGATCAAATTTATGATGTGTACCTTTTGATGCCATTCAGAAAGCCTTTATTTGATCTGCAGGTGCATCGTCGTTAGATCCGAAAGCTATAGCGATGTTGATTTACAAGGAAAACTAGATTCATCTTCTCCTCTCTTCTTATCCTTCATAGGACCGCTATGAGCAATAGATTAGAGACTAACAAAGATTGAGAATAGATCTATAATCTCAATAACTGATGTTTCGTCCTTAGGATGTTTTATCCTTTTATAGGCGAGAGTAGAGAGTCTAGGATGATAATTAGAAGAGTCACTCCTATCAAGGTTATATCTTAAGGAATCCTGCAATAATTGGATTTCCTTTCTATTGATCGATAACGGTAATTAAAATCTAATTAAATCTATAATATATTTTACCTAGAGATAGGGCCACATAATCTAACAGGTTGTTCTTGAAATGTAGAGATCTTATTTTGGCTACTAAGTGGATGTCTTTCTTGAACTTTGATGAACCATTTAACTGTAAAGTTTAATTATTTGATTAATTGGAGATTTTGATTCCACCAACCTTATTTTACAAATCTTGTTTTGTTATTGGGATTGAATTTTGAAGTTTAAATTTATGTGCCAATGTGGAATTGAAATAGTGAGGAACAAAGTGTTAAAACTCTACTTACCAATCACTTTGTAGCAACCCCTGTTCGTAATTTTCATGGTAGTTTGGGGACATCAAAAAACGGGGCATGCCATGGCGGAGACTCGCCATGGAGGAAAGAAACTGGGACTATGCAATTCAACATGGAGGAGATTTTGCAAGCAACTAAGAACTTCTCCCCTTCATTAAAGGTTGGGCAAGGTGGGTTTGGGACAGTTTATAAAGGGACACTCGATGATGGCACACTCATTGCAGTTAAACGTGCCAAAACGGTTAGTGGAGTTCCTTTTTTGTTTTTGCCATTTAATGTGGCAACTTGTTGCCGATGTGAAAATTGGAATTTTGATGTCTTATGCAGAGCATGCATGACAACCATGTGAGTGTGGAGTTCCAGAGTGAGATCAAAATATTGGGACAGATTGAACACTTCAATTTGGTCAGGTTCTTTGGTTATTTGGAGGACAATGATGAGAGAGTCATTGTGGTTGAATATGTGCCTAATGGAACACTCCGAGAGCATCTTGATGGTAGTCATTTTTCTTCCTCGTTTCATATTGATGCTATGGTCATGTCATGGTTGTGCTTTTGTTGGTTATCTTGCTTTCATCATCACTAGTTCAAGTCATGACGAGTGATGTCTGATGGCATTGAATTTTTAGTTGATGTTGGGGAAATTGAGTAGTAACTTGTGCTCTGGAATATACAGGTTTTCGTGGAAGCTATCTTGATCTTTCATCACGACTTGATATTGCAGTTGATGTAGCTCATGCTGTCACATATCTTCACATGTATGCAGGTAAGATTGAAACAAAATATTGATTTTGTTACTTCCTTTCTTCCAATCAGTGGGAGCTGAAAACTTCAAATCAATGAGTTCAGAATAACTATAATGCTATTGCTGTAAGGAGTATGTTTTCTTTTGCACCTGCAACTTATACACTATCACAAACTGAATTTATCAGCTTCTTCAATTGAGTTGGTCTGTATTGATGAAAAAAATGGAAAGGAATCATATACTGGCCCTAATATTTGGCTCAAGGCCTTGCTTTATGGTTTCATGTTCCAATGTTGATTTAGAAGATTCAAAGAAATAAAAAGGAATCAGTCCTGCATGTATTTGGTCAAGAGACAGTCTTGCTATCATTCACTCGTCTTGTATGAAATAGTATGTTGTGAAAAAAATTTTGTGCTTTAATACCTTTAAACTTCATTTACTTGATCTTTCCTTTTTTCTCCCCTTGCATTTGAGCATAAAGTGATGTTACTTGGGAAGTGAGATGTCATCTCAGACAATTTTTGTGTAATGGAATTTTCGTTTTCCGTATATGATGGGGAGTTTTTGGGGGGGATTGGGAGGCTATTACAGCATAAATGCTAGGATTCCTCCTTGGCATCAGCTTTCGATTTTCTTTCTCTTTGCCTTCTTAAACAAAAACTACAAATTAGAATTTGGAGTATGTTGGGTAGTGTTGTTCTAGTTTATATATCTCTTATGAATGCTGTTGGAGGTAAATTTTTTTGCTTACAATAATTTCGAAAGTAAGAAAAGGCAATGGAAATATGACTTGGTGATATTTATTTCCATTTCATGCGCCATGCTCCTTGTCATATGGAATGTGAATTCCAAGTCATTCGCTATTCACCCTTTAATCTCTCATTAAACCTATTTTTCTCCATATATATGGTCTTGATCTTGGTCGGATTGGTTGGACTCTGATATACATTGTGGTTTGTGATGTGTTTTAGTACAATTTAATAGATTGTTCATATAATGGAATCCATTTTCAGAAACAGCATATGCTTCAGGAATAAGAGCTATGACGTAGCCAATATCATGGCTTACCACATAAACCCTTCCTTGACAAGTTAATCAACCACCTTTAATCAGCCAAAAACATGTGTGGTTAAGTAACCCTGGAAGTGGGATCACAATGGACATACTATGTATATCACCTTAATTGGTATTTGAGTTGTGTTATTACTGCTACATCTTTAGAGCAGAAAGCGAAACCCTGGTTCTTTTCTCTTGATTCCTGTCTACCCTCAAATCAATATTTCTGTATTTTATGCACCTTATCACTGAGTTCTTGCTCATGTCACATGAAGAATTTGATTAATTTCAACAGTTTGGGCATGAATTTTTACCAGTCTGTGTATGTTTTGCTAAAAAACTGAACAGTATTTTTTCACTAAATCCATTGTGTGTGTGCAGGTGTCTACATTTATAAACATTAAACTTCTGTGGAAAATTATGTGTACACTTTTTAAATTATATGAAGTGTTTGACCAAGGCAATTAGTTACATTCTTTGTCATTAAAATGGATGCGCTGATCCATTGTTTTCTTTGATGCAGATAATCCTATTATCCACAGAGATATCAAGTCATCTAATATTCTTCTTACCGAAAACCTGCGTGCCAAGGTTGCTGATTTTGGCTTTGCCCGACTAGGTGTAAATGAGGCTGGAGTTACCCATATTTCCACCCAAGTTAAAGGAACTGCTGGTTACTTGGATCCGGAGTATATTCGAACTTATCAACTTACGGACAAAAGTGATGTATTCTCATTTGGTGTGTTATTAGTAGAATTAATATCTGCACGCCGCCCCATAGAGCGTAAAAGAATACTCAAGGAAAGGGTAACAATAAAATGGGTATGTGCTTTTGTCTTTTATACAATTAATGTCATGTGTCTTAAAATTAGGCTTTTTAGAATATTATTTATTAATTCTTAATAGAAACTACGATCTAAATACTTGTAATTTATCTCACAAATTTCAATTGCAGTAAAATAGTTGAAACTTTATGATTTTGTTAAGGTTGTAAGACATAATTTATGATTTATTTGATCCTGAATTATCTGATCAGGCGATGAAGAAATTCAGAGAAGGAAAGACAATTCAGATTTTGGATCCGAATCTTCCACAAACACCAGCAAATAATCTGGCTTTGGAGCAGATCATCGAGCTGGCTGTGCAGTGTTTAGCTCCTTTCAGGCAGAGCAGGCCCTGCATGCGGAGCTGTGCAGAGATATTATGGAACATCCGAAAGGATCACAGGGAGCTGTTATCTTCAGATCCCCTCTCCCAGACTTCCCATCAAAGAACCCTTCCATCGGCGGCGACAAGAGTTATATTTAAGTAAGATCTGCACACTGTAGTAAGCAGCTCAACTTGCAAATTCAGCATTCTCATCATCATCATAGGATTGGATTATGCTGGTAAATTGCTTTCAAAGATGGGAAGATTAACATTTTGAGAGGGAATGCATGTAGAGGTTATGTTAATGGTTTGCATAGATGAAATTATACATATACATATGTATGATACAAGTTCCAAACTCGATTGACATGGGAAGCTTGGATTCCTTTGTAGTTAAATTTTCCTATATATTTATACGTCTACAACAAATGCCTTCCCTTGAAGTATTGCAAGAGAAGAAATGAAAACACATGCATTAGCATTAGAACGATGATAATATCTTGTGTGATTCTTCCTTTTATGTTTCTACATTGACTGCGTAATCATTTTCGTTTTGGTGATCAGAAGTTCCTTTTTCTTTATGTTTCAGTCTAAAATAAAAAAAAGTACTGATTCCATTCGTAAAAAAATGAAAGCGAAACGTATATCTGAAATTTAAATTTAGAGAAAAAGATTAGCTGCAATGGTACGAAGTTTTTATATACCCCACACGATATATATATATATATATATATATATATATATATCGAATTTTTAAGAAACATTCCTAATTTGAGAAATTCTTGTAGCACTCCACTTGGTGATAGAGGCACAACCATTAACCATCGGCAAGGAACAAGGGATTGCTCGTACCCTCTTCCTACCATCAACCATCGGCAATCTTACCATCAACCACCGGCTAGAAAGGAGGCGAAGAGTGAGGGGCTACCCTTTAAAAGGAAATATGGATAACACATAAAAATATTTATAAACAAACTATTTTACTTCTTTTACTATAGGTGGTTTGAGAGGCTAGTCCAATGAAAGCTAGTGCACCACAAGTTTTATGGAGAGAAGGCAACAAGCAAAATAATGGCGAAGGGTCAGATGGAGGGTGATGACGGACGAGGATAGAATGATCATTTTGTAAAAATATATTGCATGAATTTTTTTTAGTTAGGGTGCTATTTCTCAAATTTAGGATTTTGTTTCGACATTCAAATGTATGTATATATATATATATATATATATATATATATATATATATATATATATTATATATAAATATATATATGTATATATATATATATA